TGGTGTGTAAATCCAATCATTTTTTTGAATGTCGTTTTGCTGTTCCAAACATTCTATCGTTTGGCAAAAATGAGTGACCTCTTTTTGGTATGTAATATTGTATCTCATTTATATTGCTACCTAGTTCAGCTACCCGTGATAAAAGTATTCGGACCGTGGCATGATTTCTATTTTGGCCTGCACAACCATCAGAAAATAGGTGCAGTTCTAAAATTATAATTCAGCACAAAGGTACATTCTTCGCTCACGTACTTTTGTTAATGTATCTCCAGGTAATGCGTTGCATCGTCAGCACAGAGATTTTCCTTTGTAATCTATAGGCTGCTCATTTTTTTTTAATAAAATGCATAAATGTCTGAATTGTTTCATAGAAATTCCATGCATACAGCAAAAAAATTTCTTGCGTACTTTTCTTATAACACCTTCAATCTTAGTGTGATAAATAAAAGAAAATTCTTTTTTCTTAGGTTCTTTAGATCTAAACCATCTTCCCTCTTTTCAATCAATGACTGCAAGTATGTGTCTTGAGCATTTTTACAATCAAATTTGTTAACAAACTGAATTGTATTTTCTATAAAATCTTCAGATACAAGCTCCATACACTTTGAATTACATCTGTAAATAAATAGAATTATTGAGGTAATATTGTACTTATTATATATCAAGATATTTTACCTCCAATTATTGGTGGTAAAACATGAGTAAATAAGTATAAATTTGAGAACGAATACAGTCACACTTCAAAGAACAAAAAACTAACCTACAAGAAGCACCCGTATGACTTGGTGCCACATCATTTCCTTTGTGATTTTTAAAAGTTTCTCCAGCAATTTTGGCTATTTTTATTTTTTTGTGTTTATAATTTCCACTGTTTGTTATACCAGACACTCTTTTTCTAGATCTATATGCATTTTCAGGAAGTTCGCGATTTTCCATTTCTGTTACAAAAAAAGTGAAATTACGTCACTACAGTTGCGCTTTGTTTCACTTGAAAAAGGCATAAGTCCGGGACTTGTGCCATTTTTAAACAGACTTTAATTTTCATTCGCATTTAAAGTTGACTTGTGGCATATGAAAATGTTTCTTTTTCAAAGGGAATATGTAAAACACTTGAATAAATAAAATTGAATTACAAAGTAAAATTTGAAAAAAGTGTGACTTGTGCCCTTTTCGAAATGACGGGTTCAATTGTGTCCAAAATTTTGTTGACACATATTATCCCTGGTCTAGATAAATACCATTTTGTTAAGGGGCACATTAGTAGTACTGTATTTTAAGTGCCTCATGAACTTTCCTATCAAGCTTTTTAGCCTCAAATTTTAGAGTTTTGCAAATGTTCTAGTTATTTGCTGTGCACAATGCCTCTTGTATGTAGGTAGTTCAGAGCGTTCTGTTTTATTTGGTATTGTTCATTATTGTGTTGTTGCATGCGTGTTTTTATTTGCATTTTTGTTTAACCTATATAGTTTTTGTTACATTGACCTTTCATAAGGTTATTTAATAAACAGCCACCCAGAAATCTACCTTATTAAATGTCATTGTAGAAAAAGAAGTATTGGTGAAACAAAAATGCAAATAAAAACACGCATACAATAACATATAAACAGTACAATAATAATTAAAAAAGAACGATCGGCAATAGAAACAAACATTGTACACAACAAATTAAAGGGGGCAGTTGATAAACTCTAAAATTCAAGACTGAAATGTTTGATAGGAAATAATAACCTTTTCCTAGCAGAAATTTTAGTGTTTTAAGATTGATTGTTAAATAACGAAAATTTTCGTTCATATTTTTAAACGACTAATAACGGACAATTATTCCGACAAAGTGCGGCAATTTTCAACAGTGTAGACCTTATTTAGAAGAAGATTTAAAAGATGTTGCTATATTTTACAAAATTAAATCTTAAGAAATCAGAAGAAATTTGTAGCAAATTTATAAGAGAAGATGAAAATCTTTATAATGTGGAACTTGAGGATATCATTATGAAACTTTCACTACCAAGTATTGGTCATGATTTATATAAACATCAGTATCTTATGTTTTATTTTGATCTGATTTCCTATAAATAATTAATATTTTATACTTTTTCATTATTGAACTTCTTGTTGTCATTGTTAAAATACTTCCTCAAGAAGCATTATATTCTGATATAAAATATTATGTACTTTTATATGATATAAAAACACATTTTAAAAAGTGTTATTTTCTTATCTAAAATCATAAAAATAACTATGTATTCAACAAAACTTATTTTGAACAACCCAATCGCATTTACCTTTTGAACTTAACCCAAGTTGTTCCATGATAAAATCATGTAATCAAAGAAAATACGTGGCAATATTAAATCAATTAAACTGATTTCATTTTCAAAAAGTTAATTATACTATTAGTAATACTGACTGAGTATCGCATCCTCAATACACAAGTCTTGACAAGATTGCAAGAATTGATTTTTTTTTTTTTTACAAAATTGAAAATACTTCGACCTTTTACATCTGCTTATGATAAGTGAAATTTCTGTAGATTAAAGATTATTCAAAAATATCTGTGATCAACAATGATTAAACAACGTCTTTTTGGAACGTCTTTTTGGAGATGTATTAAAGAAAGACTTTGAATTTTCAAAAAATTATTTTTTTTAACCAGCGGGCACTGAGGTCCATTAGACGCCTATACAACGCTTTATAGCCGTCAGAACTCCAATTAATGGTCTTAAGTTGTCCAGCAAACCTTCTGTACTCTTTAAAATTGAAATCTAGCATAAAAAATTGTATAATCTAGCAGGAAAGTAAATTTCTTTTTTGATGCATGCTTCCAGTAATATTTATAGTGTAAATATTTTTTTAATTAATAAATCCATTGCAACATAATTGATTTTTTTTTTAACAGTAAAGTTTAATCCAACTAAGGAAAACTAAAACTTAAGGGTGTTTAGTGTCTCAGACGTATCTAAAAATAATGGTAAAAAGTACATAAATGCATTGGTAAAATAAACTTATCAGAAGTGTGCTTTTCAAAAAACAATTTTTTTGGAATAATGTGCTAACCCCAACCCCTGTTGCTCTCTATTTTTTTCCCTGGAAACCCCACAACACTAAACTTTAATCCGCCGAAGCCTTAAACCTCATTGAATTGTTATAATGAGGTGACTAAAATCCTTTTTTAAATGACAGTACGCGCAGTGTAAAATCTAATCGTTACTTCCACCCTATTTTATTTTTGTGAATGATTTTTTTTTTTAAATTTTTTTAATATTTGTATGTGTGTTGTTGGAATACTAAAATAAGAAATAACTATATAAATAATTTTTATATTTAGCAAGTAATATTAAAAAAAAAATGAATGAAGAAAGCTTTAGAACCAATATGATGAAAGTTGCAAAAAATTTGACAAAAGAAGACATAAAATACATTAAGTTTAAATATATCAGGAAAATAGGTGAGGGTGTTCTTGAAAAGATAGATAGTGCAATAGAATTATTGACCATATTAGAACAGCAAGGTTTCCTCAATTATAATAATTATGAACCATTTGCTAAACTACTTATTCAATTGGGCAAGCAAAAGTTAGTTAAAGATTGTTTTCCTGGTAAGTTTATTAGCACTATTATCATTATTATTATATTTATAATATTAATATTACTTTTTTAATTATTTACTAGCATAAATATACTTAAATAATATTCACTCACAGTATTTATATAAAATAACTTAATAAATATTTTTGTTGGTGAGCTAACAATGTTTTTAAAAAATAATTTTTTTCAAAACGTTTATTGTTGCATTCAAATTTATTTTATATACTGATGTGTTTTATAAGTTCAACTAAAGAAAAGAAATTTTAAAAAGTAGTAGTAATAGTTTACTAATAAATTAGGCAGACGAAAGAGACTCGTACCGTGAAAATCTCTAGTGAAAGAACGGGTTTTTTCTTTTTGAAAAAAAAAGGCAGTTTAGAAAAGCAAATAAAATTGTTTTGGTAAATTTTGACTTTAAAACTTTATAAAATTGGGGTTCAATTCCACCCTTTTTAAAAAATTTTGGTTCAATTCCACCCTATCCCCAGCCCCTATCTCAGTAGTCCGTAAAATGAATAAAATAGTATAACAGCACATCAAAAATTTTGGCAACAAAATTTAAAGAAATATTATTATATTATAGAAACTAAAAATCTATTAAAACATGCGCACTTTAAGGCAACTATATTATTCACTTATATACCTCCATATTTACTGTGCATATATTGCGTGGGGCAAAACTTATAAAAGTAAACTATAGTTTATTTATCGTCATCAGAAACATATAATGTTTAGTTAATTCTTATGATCGACAAACTCATCCAACACCTCTAAAGAATTACAAACGTTTAAACATATTCAGCTTATAGTATAAATTATTTTTACCTACAATTTTAAAGAGAACTTTTCTCCGCCTTCTTTCCAAAGTTTATTTACAACTATATAAATAAAATAACTTTTTAAAAAAAAGAAATAAAATCTAAGTAATGGTAATTTTTTAAGCAATCATTTTTGATTTGTAATCAACGTCACTTTTGCAATTTTATATTCCGATTATCATCAAATTAAATGAATACCATAAAAATTATTTATAAAGTGTAAGTAAAGTTCAAAAGTACAGGAAAACTTATTATTGTATATAAAATAGCATATTAATAGCTAACATACTTTTTTTTAAATATGTTTTTTTTTTTATTATTTACTCAGTATTATCTAAAGCGAGCTTCAGCTGGACTAAACGAACTTAAAAGTTCTAATTTTTTTTAAATTATATAAAATTTGTAAATCTTATGGTTATTAAATGCTTATAGCAATACCTTTTTATACCAACTATTTTTTTCAAACATATGAATTTACTAATTAATGAAAACTATACTATATATAGTTTGAACTCCGTTTATTTAGAAAGAAATACATATTTTATAATGTCATATTTATTAAAAGCCAAGAAAATAATGCCTAAAATTTAAAACTTATTGAAAAATATATTTTTGTTTAAGAATAGCAAACAAAGTAATTTTTAACATATTATTCTCTTGTTTATGATTATTATAGCAAAAATTTTAAAGTGTTTTTGTTTCCAGGCTTCAAATTAATTTTGCATATTTATTATGCAAAACGTTTTCCCTTAAAATAAGTATCACCATATAAATATTTGAAACACGCACACACACACATACACGTCCACACATACACACATTTCTATATATATATATATATATATATATATATAAATATATATATATAATATATATATATATATATATATATATATATACTATATATATATATATATATATACTATATATATATATATATATATATATATATATATATATATATATATATATATATATATATATATATATATATATATATATATACATATATATAAATATACATATATATATATATATATATATACACACACACATATATATATATATATATATATATATATATATATATATATATATATATATATATATATATATATATATATATATATATATGTATATATATATATATATAATGCTTTCTTGCAGGGTCTTTCTTTTTTAGCAATAAGGTATTGATTGCGGGGACCGGTTGCTTAAGGGGACATAAATCGGTCCCCATTAATTTTAAGCTTGACTTATAACTTCTACGCGATTAAAATGTCTTTGAATTAATATTGTATATAAAGTAGACAATACTCTTATTGTTATTAAGTTATTATTTGTGGTTCAAACATTTTTTTTTTAAGTAAATGGCTTTGCTATTATGGGTATGTATATTTAATAAAAAGCAAAGTTCATTGGTTTGTGCACTTACGAGGACAAACTAGAAAATGATTTTTTGCATCTATCATGTATATAAATCTTTTTTTTTTTGAAAACTCTTTTATCTTCTTAGAAAAATTAAATAAATATTAAAAAAAGTAGTGTTTTAACATAATTTTTTTTCACTCTTGAATATTTTTTTTTATACGCGAACTTGCGACCTTGATTAAAAACGCATTTAAAAATGTAAACAAATGAAATAAAAGTAGTTTTTTTTTATTTTGTCATTGACTTTGTCTTTATATTATTAGGATTGATTTATATTGATTTGTATTTTAAATTTAAATATAACTAATTTGCTGACAGTAAAGATATTATAACATGACTTCAATTTTTACACCTTAGTAAGATGTTAAAATCTTTATGATGTTATTATGACATTATTATGATCTTATTATGATGCTGCCTTATATATATAGTATATATATATATATATATAGTATATATATATATATATATATATATATATATATATATATATATATATATATATATAGTATATATATATATATATTATATATATATATATACATATATATATATATATATATATATAAATATATATATATATATATATATATATATAATATATATATATATATATGTATATATATATATATCTATATATATATATATATATATATATATATATATATATATATTATATATATATATACATATATATATATATATATATATATATATATATTATATATATATATATATATATATATATATAGTATATATATATATATATATATATATATATATATATATATATATATATATATATATATATATATATATATATATATATATATATATCCAATTATTGTATAATCCAATTAAATGAATATATCCTTAGAGACTTGTCCAACGAAACTTTTATGATAAAAAAAGTCTCTCTCGACTACAATTTTTTTACGTTATCTCTTAAGCTGCATTTTTTTGTCGTCGAAATGTCAAAGCAAGTAAATTATTGCGGAAGTACATAAATTTTGATGTTTAAAAAAACCGCTATAATAATAAGAAAATTTTTTTTTAATTAGTGGTGTTTTCGTTTTTGTTTTATTAAAAAACATTTTTAAAACATGCGTAAGTGTTGCTACATCGACTATCTTATAGCCTGCAGCTACAAGGGAGTGTTGCTACATCGACTAACTTACAGCCTGTCTCGCAACGGAGTGCTGCTACATCGACTGAAAAATAGCCTGACTCGCAAGAGAGTGCTGCTACATCGACTGACAAATAGCCTGACTCGCCATGTAGTGCTGCTACATTGACTGACACATAACCTGACTCGCAAGGAAGTGCTGCTACATCGACTAAGGGTTTGGTTTGGGCAGGCAATCTATCATAAAAAAAAAAAAAAAAAAAAAAACCTTTTTAAAGATTTTTAACATTTTTTGGTCAGCCTTATTAACGCGCTCTTTAAAACAACAGTTTATGGCAAAAACTTTATGACTTCCATACTATATATATATATATATATATATATATATATATATATATATATATATATATATATATGTATATATATATATATATATATATATATATATATATATATATATATATATATATATATATATATATATATATATATATATATGTATATATATATATATATATATATTTAGCTGCAGTTAAGTCGAAAAACATATGCTCCGGTAGCTCGTTCGAGTATTTTGCTGATATATTTTTGTGTCTTCGAAAACAGTTTGGAACATATTTACGCCATATTCTAAGATGGTGACCACGAGATAAGGAGTTAACAAATTTAGGTTGATATATATTACTAGTTATATTAAATCATTGAATTAATTTAAAAATATGGATTAAAAAAGCGTTGCTTTACATTGAACAGACTCAACCAAAGTTATATCAATTTTTGAAAACGGGGCCCAAACAGACATAGCATACTCAAAGTGTGGTTTTATAAACACTTTTCATAAATTGAAAGTCATTTTTTTTATAAATGATAGTAAATGTCTTTTTTAGCATATCTAGAATTTGTAAAAATTTGAAGACAACTAATTGAATATGAGTGCTCCACTAAAGGTCAGATTTAAAAATGAGTCCTATATTGCGCTCTTTAATAGAGCCTTTTAGAAGTTAATTTTTAGCTTGATTATTTAGCAAAAAGTAACTATACATAGGGTTAGTTTTACCATAATAGATAACAGCATTTTAAAATATTTAGTTTAAGTAACCAAGTGTTTGACTACTTGTATGCTAAGCGTAGACGATTTAACAGATTAACGAAATTAGTGTGCGATAAAGTTTTAGAAAAAGGTTTAGTATCGTCGAAAAATAATTTAGAAGTTTTATTAGGTTGTTTTTAAAAAGAATAAAGAGGAGCAGCCTCTTAATCAGAAAAATGACTATTTCTTTGTAAACCTTAGAGGGGTTCTTGATTTTTACTTACAATCATATAATGATTATATAACTATTGGAGATTTTAATTTACAACTTCATGATAAAATAATGAACGAGTTTTTCTGTCTTTATCAATGTAGTAATTTAATTAAAGAACCAACTTGTTTTAAATTGGTCGTAAAACCCACGTATAAAGATCTCATCCTAACAAATAGAAAAACGTTTTTCCAACACTCTTAGACAATCTGTACGGGTGTTGGTAAACTAAAATCTTAAGAGGTAAGCCATTTATGACTAAGATTTTTAGAAAAATAATTATGCTTCGCTCAAAATTAAAAAAAAGTTTTAGATTGAAAAATCAGATATTTCTTTGTCTCTTTATAGAAAACAAAGAAACTGCATAGTGAACTTGAATAAAAAAGCAAAGAAAATATATTTTAATGAGATAAATTTATTCAAGTCGTCCACTACATCTCTAAGGAAGATATGCAAGCCTTTTCAATCTAATAAATCTGGTAATTGGAGCGATTGCATAACGTTGATTAAACACGGGAAAATTATTTCGGACTTTCAAAGTTCAAAGATTTTCAATTTTTATTTCACTAATGTTGCGTCGTCTCCTATAAATAGTGAGATAAGTTATCGTCCTTCTCCTTGCAATGTACATGTGTCTGTTGAATCTGCTGTTAAAAGATATGCAAACCATCCCAGTATTATAAACATTAAAAAAAAATCCAAATTATATCCTCAAAATTGTAAATTTCATCAAATTATTCCTGATGATATAACAAAAGTTATTTAATATATTCCAACGTTTATGTTAAAAACTTATGTCACGGATTTGAGAGAAAGCCTCACTTATTGTATAAATAATTGCATATCCCAAGGCAATTTCCCCGTTCTTCTGAAAAATGGCCGATGCCATACCTTGTTTTAAAAAATATGACCCAATTGATAAGTAACTTCCACCCAATAAGTAATCTGCCAGTTCTCTCAAAAGTGTTTGAAATCGTTATTTACGAGCAAATACGGATTTTTATAGAGTCAAGCTTTAACAAATTGCTGTGTGAATTTTGGAGAGGGTATAGTGCACAGCACGCACCTTTTAATTTAGGTAATAAATGGCAAGAATGCTTAGATAAAGAAGGTGTAGTTGGCGCTATGCTTATGGATTTATCAAAGGCATACGAACTAATTCCACATGATTTGCCTATAGCTAAGTCGGAAGGTTATGGGTATTTTTACGATAGTGTCAAACTCTTATTATCTTACCTTTCTTCGCGCAATCAGAGAGTAAGACTAGGATCGTCATTTTCTGAATATTTAGATATGGAATCTGGTGTACCTCAAGGCTCAATTTTAGGACCAATTTTCTTTAATATTTTTATCAACTTCTTGTTTCTAAAAGACTCTGAAATCTGCAACTATGCTGATTTCAACACTCTTTCTGTTTGTGACAAAAACTTTGATATAAACTCTAATATTTTTATTAACTTCTTGTTTATAAAAGACTCTGAAATCTGCAACTATGCTGATTTCAACACTCTTTCTGTTTGTGACAAAAACCTAGAGAGTGTTATTGCTCGTCTTCAAAATAGAAACATCAAACGTGATTTCATGGTTTACTTTGAATAAAATGGTTGCAAATCCGGACAAAGTTCAATTTTTTTTAGCTGGTTTAAAAAACTGTAGAGATCAATTTTTAATGGTTAGAAATGTAAAAATTATGGTTTCCTCTAAGGTTAAACTTCTCGGGGTTACAATTAATAAAGATTTAAAATTTGATGATTATATTAAAAGTTTGTGTGGAAAAGCGAATAGTTAATGCTTCGCTCTTCCACGAATAAGGAGCTTCTTATCAGTAAAACAAGCTACTGTTTTATTCAATGCTTTTATACTGTCAAATTTTTCCTATTGTCCTTTAATTTGAATGTTTTGTTCAAAGTATAATGATAACCTAATTAAAAAAATTCATGAAAAAGGATTTCGCATTGTCTATAAAAGATTTGATCTCCCATTAGAAGAAATTCAAAAAATAGAAAACATCCCAAGTATTCACCTTAGAAATTTAAGGTTTTTGTTAACTGAAGTTTTTAAATCTATAAATGGTTTAAATCCAGATTTTATGTTAGATCTTTTTATCAAAAAATCATTATCGTTAAGTCTTCGATGTAGTAGAAAATTAGTACTCTCACCCATAATCTTTAAACTTAAGTTCATAAAAAGTAACTCATATAGAGCAACCTCGCTATGGAACTCCCTAGACAATGAAACTTTGTCAATAACTTGTCTAAAGATGTTCAAAAAAAGTATTTTAAAATAGAACGGAAAATCGTTTTCGGAAAATCTGTCAAAAATAACTTTTTTTATTTTTTATATTTACGTCGATAATAACCAACATGTTGTATTTATTGACATTTATATTATTTACTAAGCTATTTTTATTTTATTTATTTTTCATTCACGATATGTATGTTTGTTTGTATTGTCTTATACAGTTTAGTGTGTTGATTTTAATTAGTTTTTGTTGATTATAAAACAATTGAAAATAATCAACTGAAATAGTTCCCAAATAACTATAAATTTGTTTTACTAAATAAATCCACTAAATATTATGTCACTGTGGTGTGGTGGTTAGCCCGTAGGAAACAAAATTATTAGGCTGAGCTTCGAATCCTGGCTATGGAAAATTTTTTAGATTCAATAAACACGTTGGATTAACATCGGAAAGCCGACGTCGCGCAATGTCAGTTTATCCGGAGTCAAATAGCATTTCCGTTTCCAAGATAAACCCTCCGTCGATCGGACGTTGAGATCTGACATTGTTCAACAATCGTCCAACGTCCAAATGCCCACTGGGTCCATTTAGTAAAAATTATTCAAAATATATTGGAAAAACGGTTTTAAAATTAGTAAACAAAAATTTTTCTCCCTCTAATAAAATACACAAAGTTTTGAACAGTAAAACTATTTAAGTAAGCTATAGCTGTTCAAAAAATATTGAAACAATTATATAGGGCCATATTTTTGCATTGATTAAAAAAAATGAAATTCTCAAGGAAAAAATACCAAAAAGTAATAGAATTAGTTAGTATATACGAGTATATTAATATTATAATATATATATATATATATATATATATATATATATATATATATATATATATATAAGTTAGTTTAATTGAGTGATTTTCAGCAGTTTAAAGTGTACAGTTACATAAATTGTTGTGTTTTTTTTTTCTAAAATATTTAATTAAACTAAAACTGATTTTAATTAATTTGATTTTGCCTTTAAAATAAAATTATACAAGCTTGCTTAAATTTAACTATTAGTGAACATTTTTATATTATTTTTTTTGACGTTATTTGTTACTATTTTAAACTTGTTTTTCTTTTTAATTTTATAGCTATGAAAGTTTATATCTCATACTTTAGAAAATAGTCGATATTTCCAAAACCAAGTTTGTGTTTATAAATTTTTTTTATTTGACAAAGTGTTTTATATTTTTACGTTTGTAGTTTATTAAATAAATTTTTTAAAGAATATCAGCTTTCTTCTAAAAGAAAAAAAAAAAAAACGAAAAGCAGATCAAAATAATGCTAATGGTAATATAATAACTTTATAATTGCTTTAATTACGTATTCCATACTAAACTAATAACTTTAGGTGGGTGAATACATAATTTTGATGTTTTTATGTTCGAAAATTGCTGTCTTGATTGCTAACTTACTTTGCTTAACAAGTTAAAATAAAAAATTTTGAAAGTACGCTTCTAGGTTTTTACTAGAAACAATGCTTCATCTTCCTGAGAAAATAGTGATATTTGTAAAAAAAGGTTTTCTAAAAATTTATTTGTAACTTGTTTGTATACATTTAACTACTTATCACTTGTGTTTTTACTAAAACTCAGCGATAAATTTGAAATGTTTCATGATTGATATAATCTCTATAAAACAGAAATGCTATTACTTAAAACTATTCTCTAATATTGTTATGTTATATGAATTTCAGGTTTTATAAATATTTCTCATTTTAATGTTCCTTAAGCAATTAAATAAAGAGGAACAAGAAGTTAAAGTTTACAAATAATTTTAGTAAGAGTAATAAAATTTTTTTAAGTGTAATAAAATATAAAAAAATTATAAAAAAATAATTAGATGCTATTTATCATACATAAAACTTGTTCCTTAATTGGAAAGGAATATAAATAAAAGACTTTTATTTAAAAGGTTTTATAATTATCATTTGTAAAAATATTGCAATCAAGTTAAAACG